CCGTCTGATTTTTTACGTCTAAATCCTGCACATGAACACTCCCGTTAATTTCTCAAGAAACTCGTTTTTTGTTCAAGAAACACGTTTTTTGTTCAAGAAACCCGTTAATTTTTCAAGAAATTAGTTTCTTGAGCAATAAACTCGTTTCTTGTTCAAGAAATAAATTCCATACATATCTCTTCAAATGTCGTTCGCATTGTTGCCTCTTCAAAGCATTAGAATTTTTTTTTTTTATAAAAATGTTAATTTTAACTTATATCCATTATTATAGGTATTCATAATTTTAAATTAATATTTTATATAATTAATTGAAATGTAAATTAGTACACACGATCTGAAGCCTTCACTTTAAAACATTTTTGCACTAAATTGGTCAACTATGATCAAAATCAAACATTGATCTAAATCGAACATTGATGAACAATTAAACGAACTTGCTCGAATATATACTTAATTTAATGGAATTTAATTTATTATTTGATAAATGCCCTTAATTAATCTTCACCCATTTTGTTACCATTTCAATTCATTTTTTTTTAAAACTATCAACTATCAACTCCTCTAAGTTAATTAATACTACTAATTTATTAAGTCATAAGGCAAACAAAAGATCATCATAATTAATATTAATATTGTTAACATAGAACCACAACGACGAAATATTAAATAAAACACAAGCAAAAGATCGGTACAAGAAGTCACACCATTAAAGACGAAAAACAAATAAATATTTTTTGGATACCATTTTCGTGTCCCAATAAATTAGGCATTAGCGATAAATTACGAAATCATTATTTAGCTTGAATCCGATTTATAAATAAATAAATAAAGTACAACTAAAAAAGTTACAACTAAATCTAATATTGTAGGATGCATTAAATATTGATTAGAATTTATATGTAAAATAAAATAAAAAAAATGGAATAGTTTTACGTGTTGCAATACTTTAAATTTAAAAAAAAAATTAAAAAATCTTCTTTTACGTATTGGATACCAACATTTTAGGAACTACATGGATATTCATAAATTAATATTGCATACCCAATATTTTAGGAACTAATTAAATGCTAATTTGACTTGCATACCAAAAATATTAGATGCATTAATTAAATGCTTGAACAAGAAACCCGTTTTTAATCGAACTCCAATTCGTCCAATTGAGGGCCAATTAGTACAATCTCGGTCAATTATAGTGTAATCGATCTCGAATTAGTCCAATTGAAGTCAAATTAGTCCAATATCGGTCAATTATATATAATTGAACTCGAATTAGTCCAATTGAAGTCAAATTAGTACAATATCGGTCAATTATATTGTAATCAAACTTGAATTAGTCCAATCGAGGTCCAATTAGTATAATCTCGGTCAATTATTGTGTAATCGAACTCGAATTAGTCCAATTGAGGTCCAAATAGTACAATCTCAGTCAATTATAGTGTAATCGAACTCGAATTAGTCCAATTGAAGTCCCATTAGTACAATCTCAGTCAATTATAGTGTAATCGAAATCGAATTGGTCCAATTGAAGTCAAATAGTACAATCTCGGCCAATTATATTTTAATCGAACTCGATTTAGTCCAATCGAGGTCCAGTTAGTACAATCTCCGTCATAGTGTAATCGAACTTGAATTAGTCCAATTGAAGTCCAATTAGTACAATCTCGGTCAATTATATTTCAATCGAACTCGAATAAGTCCAATTGAAGTCCAATTAGTACAATCTAGGTCAATTATATTATATTCGAATTCGAATTAGTCCAATTGAAGTCAAATCAGTACAATCTCGGTCAAATTGATTGGGAATAAATAATTAGTTGACGGTTATTGTCTTATTCGGAGTTAATGTCATATTCGCATCTTACATGACGGATATTGTCTTATTCGGATCCTACATGACGTTTATTTCTCAAGAAACTCGTTTTTTTGTTAAATAAACAAGTTTCTTGTTAATAAAACGAGTTTCTTGAGAAATAAACGGGTTTCTTGAGCAAAAAATGGGTTTCTTGAACAAAAAAATAAAAATAAACAGGTTTCTTGAACAAAAAACGAGTTTCTTGAATAAGAAACGAGTTTCTTGAACAAGAAACGAGTTTGTTGAACAAGAAATCCGTTTTTAATCGAACTCCAATTCGTCCAATTGAGGGCCAATTAGTACAATCTCGGTCAATTATAGTGTAATCGATCTCGAATTAGTCCAATTGAAGTCAAATTAGTACAATCTCAGACAATTATATTTTAATCGAACTCGATTTAGTCCAATCGAGGTCCAGTTAGTACAATCTCGGTCAATTATAGTGTAATCGAACTTGAATTAGTCCAATTGAAGTCCAATTAGTACAATCTCGGTCAATTATATTTCAATCGAACTCGAATAAGTTCAGTTGACGGTTATTGCCTTATTTGGAGAAAATGTCATATTCGCATCCTACATGTTGGATATTGTCTTATTTCTCAAGAAACCTGTTTATTGAGAAATAAACGGGTTTCTTGAGAAATAAACGGGTTTCTTGTTCAAGAAACTCCTTTATTTCTCAAGAATTCCATTTTTTGCTCAAGAAACCTGTTTATTTCTCAAGAAACCCGTTCATTTAACAAAAAAACGAGTTTCTTGAGAAATAAACGGGTTTCTTGAACAAAAAACGAGTTTCTTGAGAAATAAACGGGTTTCTTGAGAAATAAACGGGTTTCTTGTTCAAGAAACTCTTTTATTTCTCAAGAAATCCTTTTTTTGCTCAAGAAACCCGTTTATTTCTCAATAAACCCCTTTTTTGGTTAAAAAAAACGTGTTTCTGGAGAAATAAACGGGTTTTTTGAACAAAAAACGAGTTTCTTGAGAAATAGACGGGTTTCTTGAGAAATAAACGGGTTTCTTGTTCAAGAAACTTTTTTATTTCTCAAGAAATCCTTTTTTTGCTCAAGAAACCCGATTATTTCTCAATAAACCCCTTTTTTTGTTCAAAAAAACGTGTTTCTGGAGAAATAAACGGGTTTCTTCAACAAAAAACGAGTTTCTTGAGAAATAAACGGGTTTCTTGAGAAATAAACGGGTTTCTTGTTCAAGAAACTCCTTTATTTCTCAAGAAATCCTATTTTTGCTCAAGAAACTCGTTTATTTCTCAATAAACCCGTTTTTGTGTTCAAAAAAATGTGTTTCTGGAGAAATAAACGGGTTTTTTGAACAAAAAACGAGTTTTCTTGAGAAATAAACGGATTTCTTGAGAAATAAACGGGTTTCTTGTTCAAGAAACTCCTTTATTTCTCAAGAAATCCTTTTTTTGCTCAAGCAACCCGATTATTTCTCAATACCCTTTTTTTGTTCAAAAAATGTGTTTATGGAGAAATAAACGGGTTTCTTGAACAAAAAACGAGTTTCTTGAGAAATAAACGGGTTTCTTGAGAAATAAACGGGATTTCTTGTTCAAGAAACTCCTTTATTTCTCAAGAAATCCTTTTTTTGCTCAAGCAACCCGATTATTTCTCAATAAACCCGTTTTTTTGTTCAAAAAAATGTGTTTCTGGAGAAATAAACGGGTTTCTTGAACAAAAAACGAGTTTCTTGAGAAATAAACGGGTTTCTTGAGAAATAAACAGGTTTCTTGTTCAAGAAACTCCTTTATTTCTCGAGAAATCCATTTTTTGCTCAAGAAACCCGATTATTTAACAAAAAAACGTGTTTCTTGAGAAATAAACGAGTTTCTTGAGAAATAAATGGGTTTCTTGTTAAAAAAATGAGTTTCTTGAGAAAAAAATGGGTTTCTTGAGAAATAAACGGGTTTCTTAAGAAATAAACGGGTTTCTTGTTCAAAAAACCCGTTTATTTCTCAAGAAATCCTTATTTCAAGAAACCCGCTCGAGTCCCGGCGTGACGGGAGATCGACAGTCGGAGATGACCATGAACAAATCCCAGATTTTGTATGTGTTGTCTGAACAGAACCAAAACACAACCCAAATCAGTTTTCTTAATTACAGTTTAATTATAATTAAAATAAAACCAATAGGCACTGTGTAGGAATTACAATTCCCAGATATGATGAACATCAATTCCCAGAATTTAACAATCACATCCAAATATTCACGAACAGGTCGTGAACAAACAGAACCAAGAACATCATGAAAATTAATTCAAAATTATTTATCTTAACATAATTAACAGATATTTTGATCCATGTAAATCCAATTTAAGAAAGATAGCTTTTCACTTCGACGGGGAAGAAAAATGAAGATGATTAATTGTGTTGAAGATAGAAGCCAAAATGAAGAGCCTCAGGGCATTGTAAAAAAAATACCTACAAAAACCTCTCTCTCTCTCTCTCTCTCTCTCTCTCTCTCTCTCTCTCTCTCTCTCTCTCTCTCTCTCTCTCTCTCTCTCTCTCTCTCTCTCTCCTATCTCTAATTCACTTCAAACCATGGCTACATCTTCTAGAAGGTCGAACTCGTCGACGGCTCTCCGGCGGTCCGGTCCTCTGTACATCTCTACGGCCTCAGATCCATCGCCGTTCACGTCGTCATCGACCCCCACGTTTGCTTCCTCAACCAGCTACTACTCCACTACCTCCCCCTCGGCCGGTTTCTTCAACCACCACCGCTCGGCGTCTCCCACGCGCGTCAGCCTCCACGCGTTGTCCCCGCCACCGCCCACGACCCGGCTCAACATGAGGAGGTCGGCGATGACGAGTTCTCTGGTGCGGATCGGCACGGTAGAGGGAGATCTGGTGAAGCGAGCTCTGGCGGCCCTGATCCGCCCCTCCTCTCACCAGCAGCGCCGCCGGGAGGACTTCCGCCCCCGTCCGAGCCGACTTTCGGCCATGTCCAAGGCCGACGAACTCTAATCTGAATATCAACGCGAAGTTTGCAGGTTTGGTACTCAGATTCTCTTCCTCCGTGCTCCGATCTACTCGAAGGCTGTGTGAGTTCAGGTGTCCGGCGGCTTTTTTGTACACCGGCGGTAAAAAACCCGTGCAATTTTGGATAAACATCACCGTACATAGTGATCTGCGAGGACATGTTGGACCATTTTAGAATAGCAATCCCCATACGAATATGGAAAACGAAACTAATTCGAGGTTTTCAGAAAACTATAAATTTAATCTAAACTTTACAAAAAAAAAAGATAGAATGCAATTTAATTTTCATTCGTGGCCTAATTGAAATATGTACATGTTATTAGGGTATAATAATAATATCATAATAGTTAAACACTCTAGTTTATAATTCTTTTAAGTAAGGGTACTTTAGTACTTACACAAGCTTGTTTTTTAATTATTTTTGTAATTAATTAATTAAGAGGACACGTGGCAGGATTTTAAAGTGGAACCTAATGTTAGGTAGGTACGAAGCTGGTACGAGGCAAATCTGATAATAGAATTACCCATCTTTGATTAGTCTATTAGACTTGCAGTTTTGGTGTTGTATGGAGTTTGACATTACTTTTGACATTACTCTCAACCTCCATATGATTGTGCTCACCACATCGTGTTATGAATAGCCTTATTTATGAACTTGGTTTTGAAGAATGGACATCTACTGTTGAAAAAAAATATTTGTGAAAAATATTTTGAAAAAACAAAAAATAAAATATAATTAAAGTTGATGCGATAAAAATACTAATTTAATAAATATAAATATTTTGTTGTAAAAAATGTGTCGAAAATTTAATTGAAAATAAATAGTGACATTTTGGTTGCTCCATAAAATGTGTGTAAGTGTGTTTTAAAAATTTTACAAATACTAGATATAATTATAACCTGTCTTGGACCAAGGTCCGCGATCGGCCCGTTAAGAACCAAGGGCCGGTTCATAGAACCGGACCGAACCGCCGGTTCACCGACCTTCCGGTTCACGAGCCGGACGGCCCTTACTATATTTGGTTCAACTTTATTTCTTATGTGGATTGATGTCAAATTATTTGAAGGTAGCTTTATAAATGTCATAAAATGTGGGTAACTATATTTTAAAATATTCACAATTATTAAATATAATTATAGACTGAATTAGGGTCGGCTGTGCGTGCACAGCCGACCACACTAGTATATATATATATCATTGTTGAAGTAGGTCTATGAGTTAATTACTTGTTAGAATTGTTGAAGGTGGAAGACAGGGAAAATTTTATAATTGCTCCCTCTAAGACTAATATTTCACAGCAGTTACCACCCATACAAAATACTAAATATAGTCCAAAATTGGACAAATTTAAGCAAACACGCAAAATTACAAGAATTAATTCAAAAAATTATACAATAACCAACTACTCTCTTTCCTCTTAATTTTCTTCTCTCATTTTTCTTCTTTCTCTCTCCTACTTATCTCTTCACGTTCTTCTTCTTCCCTTTTCTTCTTCTTTCATGTTTTTTTTTTCTTCTTCCCTTTTCTTCTTCTTTTTCAAATATACATGCCTAAAGAATTAAAAAAATGATAAAAGAATGTACATACAAAATTTATGTCAAAGTAAGTGGTCGATTGAACAACCACAAAAAAAAAAAAAACACCTTACCATGTATGTGAATCATGTATGTGAGGAAGAGAAAAAAAAAACAAAAAAAAAAGAAACAAATTTTTGTGCAACAACAACAAAAAAATAACATAACACCTATCAAACAACGTATAAACAACAATGAATAAATAAAAGATCAATCAAATTTTTGGTTGGGCTAACCCATTAAAAAACGGCAATTGCACAGAAAATAGAGAAAAAGAAAAGAGAAAAAGGTACATAAAATCAAACACCCAAAAAAAATAATCAAATCCCATTTTAATGCCATAAAATAGAAAAAAATTAGGAAAACTAATCACAAAAAATATTTACAAGAGAAAAATATTTCAATTATAACTTCTTGCAGACATATTAGATAATTTACTCAAGTAAAAACCCAACTCAGTAACAAACACCAAAAAGGTTCAAAATTGTCATTCTTCAAAATCACTCATCAACCAATTGAAGAAAATCAACACACCCCATTCAGGAAAAAAAATATTGTAAAATTGAGCACCAAAGTACCTCGCCCTTGGACTGCACATGGGCAACTCGTGGACTGATCAGATTCCAAGGTCTCGTTGTAGTCCCGAGCGGTCGTCACAAAAAGCGGCTAGTCGATTAAAAAAAATCAAATAAACTACAAAAAAAGAAGCAATAAAAAAAGTTAAAAAAAAATAATAAATAATGCGACGGAGCCAACCATCGGTTGAGGCACTTATCATCACAGTTATTTACTTAAGAATAAATAACTAGGTTACCGTCGCATACCATCAACTAGCTTCATCTCCACATCTTGATTAATCCCTTTTAAACCGCCTCTTTTGATCTTGTTATTGCAAAAATAATAATAAAAAAAATTCATCATAGTAATAATACATTAACCATAATAAAAACTAAAATTGGAATAGATTAGATGAAATAAAAAAAAAAAAAAGAGAGAGAACAAATACAGAGGACATGGAGAAAAATCGGTGAAGAGAAACATAAAAAAGAGAGAAGAGGGGAATAAGAAGATGAGGAAAAGGGGAAGAAAAAGAAGGTAGAAACGTGTAGAAGAAAACAACGAGAGAGAGAGAGAGAGAGAGAGAGAGAGAGAGAGAGAGAGAGAGAGAGAGAGAGAGAGA